TTTATCCCCAAAGATCTTGTAAAATCTTGCTTTAAAACGTTGCGTTTTGCTTCTTGAAATAGGCATTTAATTTTCAAATTTTGTATTTCTTCTTTTTCTTTTATTGCTCTAAATTAAAATAATCTTTTCAAAATTTTGGAACAATTTGATTTTTTTTAATTCATGATTTTTTCAAAATGAGAATTTTTGAAAGTTGTCGGTGCTCAAACAGATATTTATTTAGTGTATACATTAAATTGTTTTGTTGAAAGAATTTTCAAAATTTTATTTAATTCATCTTTGGAACAAGACAATCTAATTTTTAAAATGTTAAGACTTGAAAATTTGAACAATTTATTTTATGTTTTGGAACTTTGGATTTTCAAAAGCCTTTTAAATTGTTTAAGTAATTTATTCTTCCGAATTCCGCAAACACCAGAACGAACAAAAAAATTGCTTTAAAAATTGACAAAAAAAGAACGAGAAAATTCAAATTCCAAATTTCGCGCCAAAACCCACCTCACACTTTGTGGAAAATCTCAAAATTTTATCCCCAAAGATCTTGTAAAATCTTGCTTTAAAACGTTGCGTTTTGCTTCTTGAAATAGGCATTTAATTTTCAAATTTTGTATTTCTTCTTTTTCTTTTATTGCTCTAAATTAAAATAATCTTTTCAAAATTTTGGAACAATTTGATTTTTTTTAATTCATGATTTTTTCAAAATGAGAATTTTTGAAAGTTGTCGGTGCTCAAACAGATATTTATTTAGTGTATACATTAAATTGTTTTGTTGAAAGAATTTTCAAAATTTTATTTAATTCATCTTTGGAACAAGACAATCTAATTTTTAAAATGTTAAGACTTGAAAATTTGAACAATTTATTTTATGTTTTGGAACTTTGGATTTTCAAAAGCCTTTTAAATTGTTTAAGTAATTTATTCTTCCGAATTCCGCAAACACCAGAACGAACAAAAAAATTGCTTTAAAAATTGACAAAAAAAGAACGAGAAAATTCAAATTCCAAATTTCGCGCCAAAACCCACCTCGCACTTTGTGGAAAATCTCAAAATTTTATCCCCACAGGCCTTGGAAAATCTTGCTTTAAAACGTTGCGTTTTGCTTCTTGAAATAGGCATTTAATTTTCAAATTTTGTATTTTTTCTTTTGCTTTTATTGCTCTAAATTAAAATAATCTTTTCAAAATTTTGGAACAATTTGATTTTTTTTAATTCATGATTTTTTCAAAATGAGAATTTTTGAAAGTTGTCGGTGCTCAAAGCAATATTTAGTGTATACATGAAATTGTTTTGTTAAAAGAATTTTCAAAATTTTATTTAATTCATCTTTGGAACAAGACAATATAATTTTTAAAATGTTAAGACTTGAAAATTTGAACAATTTATTTTGTGTTTTGGAACTTTGGGTTTTCAAAAGCATTATAAATTTTTGAAGTAATTTATTCTTCCGAATTCCGCAAAAACAAGAACAAACAAAAAAATCGCTTTAAAAATTGACAAAAAAAGAACGACAAAATTCAAATTCCAAATTTCGCGCTAAAACCCACCCCGCACTTCGTGGAAAATCTCAAAATTTTATCCCCAAAGATCTTGTAAAATCTTGCTTTAGAACGTTGCGTTTTGCTTCTTGAAATAGGCATTTAATTTTCAAATTTTGTATTTCTTCTTTTTCTTTTATTGCTCTAAATTAAAATAATCTTCAAAATTTTGGAATAATTTGATTTTTTTTTAATTCATGATTTTTTCAAAATGAGAATTTTTGAAAGTTGTCGGTGCTCAAAGAAATATTTAGTGTATACATTAAATCGTTTTGTTGAAAGAATTTTCAAAATTTTATTTAATTCATCTTTGGAACAAGACAATCTAATTTTTAAAATGTTAAGACTTGAAAATTTGAACAATTTATTTTGTGTTTTGGAACTTTGGATTTTCAAAAGCCTTTTAAATTGTTTAAGTAATTTATTCTTCCGAATTCCGCAAACACCAGAACGAACAAAAAAATTGCTTTAAAAATTGACAAAAAAAGAACGACAAAATTCAAATTCCAAATTTCGCGCCAAAACCCACCCCGCACTTATTGGAAAATCTCAAAATTTTATCCCTACAGGCCTTGTAAAATTTGGCTTTAGAACGTTGCGTTTTGCTTCCTGAAATAGACATTTAATTTTCAAATTTTGTATTTTTTCTTTTGCTTTTATTGCTCTAAATTAAAATAATATTTTCAAAATTTTGGAACAATTTGATTTTTTTTTAATTCATGATTTTTTCGAAATGAGAATTTTTGAAAGTTGTCGGTGCTCAAACAGATATTTAGTGTATACATTAAATTGTTTTGTTGAAAGAATTTTCAAAATTTTATTTAATTCATCTTTGGAACAAGACAATTTAATTTTAAGATGTTAAGACTTGAAAATTTTATCAATTTTTTTTGTGTTTTGGAACTTTGGATTTTCAAAAGCCTTATAAATTTTTGAAGTAATGTATTCTTCCGAATTCCGCAAACACCAGAACGAACAAAAAAATCGCTTTAAAAATTGACAAAAAAAGAACGACAAAATTCAAATTCCAAATTTCGCGCCAAAACCCACCCCGCACTTTGTGGAAAATTTCAAAATTTTATTCCTAAAGGTCTTGTAAAATCTTGCTTTAGAACGTTGCGTTTTGCTTCTTGAAATAGGCATTTGATTTTCAAATTTTGTATTTCTTCTTTTTCTTTTATTGCTCTAAATTAAAATAATCTTTCAAAATTTTGGAATAATTTGATTTTTTTTTAATTCATGATTTTTTCAAAATGAGAATTTTTGAAAGCTGTCGGTGCTCAAAGAAATATTTAGTGTATACATGAAATTGTTTTGTTGAAAGAATTTTCAAAATTTTATTTAATTCATCTTTGGAACAAGACAATTTAATTTTAAAATGTTAAGACTTGAAAATTTGAACAATTTATTTTGTGTTTTGGAACTTTGGATTTTCAAAAGCCTTATAAATTTTTGAAGTAATGTATTCTTCCGAATTCCGCAAAAACCAGAACGAACAAAAAAATCGCTTTAAAAATTGACAAAAAAAGAACGACAAAATTCAAATTCCAAATTTCGCGCCAAAACCCACCCTGCACTTCGTGGAAAATCTCAAAATTTTATCCCTAAAGGTCTTGTAAAATCTTGCTTTAGAACGTTGCGTTTTGCTTCTTGAAATAGGCATTTAATTTTCAAATTTTGTATTTTTTCTTTTGCTTTTATTGCTCTAAATTAAAATAATCTTTTCAAAATTTTGGAATAATTTGTTTTTTTTTAATTCATGATTTTTTCAAAATGAGAATTTTTGAAAGCTGTCGGTGCTCAAAGCAATATTTAGTGTATACATTAAATTGTTTTGTTGAAAGAATTTTCAAAATTTTATTTAATTCATCTTTGGAACAAGACATTTTAATTTTAAAATGTTAAGACTTGAAAATTTGAACAATTTATTTTGTGTTTTGGAACTTTGGATTTTCAAAAGCCTTATAAATTTTTGAAGTAATTTATTCTTCCGAATTCCGCAAAAACCAGAACGAACAAAAAAATCGCTTTAAAAATTGACAAAAAAAGAACGAGAAAATTCAAATTCCAAATTTCGCGCCAAAACCCACCTCACACTTTGTGGAAAATCTCAAAATTTTATCCCCAAAGATCTTGTAAAATCTTGCTTTAAAACGTTGCGTTTTGCTTCTTGAAATAGGCATTTAATTTTCAAATTTTGTATTTTTTCTTTTGCTTTTACTACTCTAAATTAAAATAATCTTTTCAAAATTTTGGAATAATTTGATTTTTTTTTTAATTCATGATTTTTTCAAAATGAGAATTTTTGAAAGCTGTCGGTGCTCAAAGCAATATTTAGTGTACATGAAATTGTTTTTTTGAAAGAATTTTCAAAATTTTATTTAATTCATCTTTGGAACAAGACAAGCTAACTTTTAAAATGTTGGGACTTGAAAATTTGAACAATTTATTTTGTGTTTTGGAACTTTGGATTTTCAAAAGCCTTATACATTTTTGAAGTAATGTATTCTTCCGAATTCCGCAAAAACCAGAACGAACAAAAAAATCGCTTTAAAAATTGACAAAAAAAGAACGACAAAATTCAAATTCCAAATTTCGCGCCAAAACCCACCCCGCACTTCGTGGAAAATCTCAAAATTTTATCCCCAAAGGTCTTGTAAAATCTTGCTTTAGAACGTTGCGTTTTGCTTCTTGAAATAGGCATTTAATTTTCAAATTTTGTATTTCTTCTTTTTCTTTTATTGCTCTAAATTAAAATAATCTTTTCAAAATTTTGGAATAATTTGTTTTTTTTTAATTTCATGATTTTTTCAAAACGAGAATTTTTGAAAGTTGTCGGTGCTCAAACAAATATTTAGTGTATACATTAAATTGTTTTGTTGAAAGAATTTTCAAAATTTTATTTAATTCATCTTTGGAACAAGACAATTTAATTTTAAAATGTTTAAACTTGAAAATTTGAACAATTTATTTTGTGTTTTGGAACTTTAGATTTTCAAAAGCCTTATTAATTTTTGAAGTAATTTATTCTTCCGAATTCCGCAAAAACCAGAACGAACAAAAAAATCGCTTTAAAAATTGACAGAAAAAGAGCGACAAAATTCAAATTCCAAATTTCGCGCCAAAACCTTCACCTATCACTCGCTCAAGTTAACAACAAATCGCGGAACCGCAGCTCCTCCAACCCAGACAAGGTCATCCAAATTTAGTCCGTGTCTTATTGACACGTTAATTGTGCCTCGTAGTAGAATCCCATTAAACCGGCGAAGGTCAACCCGCTCCAACCTCTACTACGACGATAACAGTAAAAAGTCCCCAAAAAACGCGACCCGTCGCTGAACCCTGACCTTCGCATCAGATACCAAATCCTCCGAAATCAAAAAATAACTTACGACCAATATAACCGTTGACGCCGCTTATAAATACCATCGCACGCAATCGCCAAAAAAAACACGAAAAACTCACCGGAGTCCGAAGGAGTGTCTATCCCCAGATTTCCAGGAAGCATCCCCGGATGGGTGCCCTTATGGTAGCTGTGATCCGTAGCCGCGTAAAACGCGCGCTTCTCATTCTCTTGTTGCTCGTCGATGGTAGGCTTCACGTCTATCACTTCTTTCACGTCTTTCACTTCTTTCTCTTCTTCTTCTTCCTCTTCTTCGATTTCTTCGTCAAAGAACCCCCATTCCTTGCCGTCCTCCTTGAAGTAGTCGCTCAAATCGCCGTCGTCGATCTCCAGCTCGTTCTCGTTCAGCGCCGTCTCCAGGCTCTCGAGGATGTGCGTCATCGGCTTGGTGTCTTCGTCGTCGGAGATCGGCGGCGTCTGCAGCGAGTAGTAGGGCATCATGGGCACCACGGTGTTGGGGTCCACGCTGAGCTTAAGGTCAGGCTTTAACAGACTCTGCTGAGCCTGCAACAGTGAGTTGAAACGGCCGCTGCGTCACCCGGAAACCCAATTTACCTGCACGACAGGCGGCTTGAGATCGGCAGGCGGAGTCGGCGACTCGCTCTTGATGCTCCTGATCCCGGGGCCCCCCTTGGAGTGGCCGTTCCACATACAGTCGTACTTGACCTGGTAGTGCCGCTGGCCCAGGATGTGCGCCACGACGTCGTCGTCGGGGATGGAGTGGAGTTGCATCTCCTCGATCTGGAACTCTTTCCAGACGTCGTCGGAGAGAAGGTGGTAGTCGGAGGTGACGCGAGTGTCCGGTTCCTCGTACCCGTCCATAGTGTTGCTGAATTCGCTTGGCTTAAAACTAATCGTTCTATCACTAATATCACAATTGCCCTGACTGAGGAGGCGACCGTCGAGACGGTAGCTGCTGGAAAGAAAGAGAAAGGGGTTAGCGAGCAAAGAAGAGAGAGCGCCGCTCGGGACATTTATTTTTTTTTGTTTTTTGTAATGATAATCAGACGGAACAGTGAGCACAATGACCACAACATAATAATAATAGTAGTAATAATCAGTAATCGGGAACTGCGTTTTTCGAAAATTTTGGTTTTGGTACTCACATTTTTGGTTTAGTTCCCGGAATTTGTAGCATTTTTGAATCTTCGAAATGGGGGAAGCTGTAATTTAAATTTTGTATCAGTTTTGTTTGAAAAATTGTTGATAGCGAGTTTCTGTGACATTTCCTGTCAACTATAGCGCGGCAATAATTTGCATCAAGTGAAAGTTCTTCAATTTTTAGAATGTACACCCGCAATTTGTAGACTGGCGTTTGTACAAATTTTTACTACCAGGAGAAACGTCGATGTATTTAAAAATTTAAATATATTTTCAAAATTTTCAAATTTAATTTTTAAAAATCAGTCTTATACACTAGAAAAAATTACATACCTTGAAAACTCAACAAATTTAGTTAACATAACAAAGTCCAGTTAGATTCCCACCACACTAACAAAAATCAGACATGGAGCCAACAAATCCGGAATTTTATTTGTGTGAGTATGAAGAAAACAATGCACAAATAGATATTATCTCTCGAGTACTTGATTTTACAGTCTGCAACTATGTACTCTGTAATTACTTTATTTACCACCCGAATTCGTAAGATAAAATACGTAACGTTGTTATTATAAACGTACTCGAGCCTAAATAATCAACCGTGATAGTATTGAAAACAAGTGTATTACGGTAATAACACCAATAACAAAAAAACTGAAAAAAATATGATAGTACATACTTCACACTTTATTTCAGTAGTAAATATAAGCAATCGCAGGTTTAGTAGCCCGACTTGGTCGATAAGCATAAAAGCCGTATTTTTATACGCAGACGACCACTGATAAGAATTATCAAAATTATTCAAAACTCTTGCATACATTATGCAACTTTAGTAGCACAAGCCTGCGGCGGATGTTTGCCACTACTATATTGTAAAACGCATCATTAATAAATAATCAAATCACCACGCTAGTACGTTCCGAGAAAATCCACGACAAACATTCCACCGGCACCAGCCACCGCGTAAACAAAGATTACGCACCGTTTGCTATGAATAACAGCAACAAATGGGCAAAAATATCGTTTCCGAGAAAACCGATCCTGAAAACCCCAGATCAGCCTTGCGCCAGCATCACGTCCCGATCTCGTGCCCATTGACATTCGATCGCTTCGCGCCTTTTTCCGGCGAAGCGTGAGTCACGCCGCTCGTCAGAAGAGTGATGCAGCGCGGCCCGGTGCACAATAAATTCCAAATACGCAGAGCCGGCGTGGAGAGTGTTTTTCCGGAAGCGCCCGCATCGAAATCGTGTAACCCGGAAAGTTATTCTTTTCCCATAATTTGGAGGGGAGCTCGATTACCATGAAAATAACTCTGATCTGACGCTCGGCGTCTTTGATTTTGTGGATTTCGGGCGGTGCATGAGTAATGGAAAGACAGCTGCAGTGCTGTTAAATAATGGAGGATTCTTCGGCAGCTGCTCCGCGGGAGCCTATGAGAAGGAGATTTCTAGGAAAGTGTTGGGTGGCGGAAGTGGATTTTCGCAGAAGATGTTCAAATTTGATTGTCAACTTGGCGTTGTGTTTTGGAGTTTGTTTTAGAAAAAGGGTCGAAGTAATAGCAGTTAATGCAATGAAAACATCGACAGCTGCTGCTCAAGATAAATTTGTCACCAGATCTAGTGGGCTTTAATATGTTTGAAATATTTGACAGTTTTGTGACGCTTAATACCAAAACTTGGAACAAGATTGCTAGTTAGTTTTGTTTTAGTAAACCTAAAAAATGTCACCAGGAAGACGTGTACTGAAACAGAAATAAGGATGCAACATTTATCATTCATGTACTCACGTACATAACAAAAAAAATGTATGCGGGAGCCATGAGAAACAAGAATTGCTTGTTTCTGACCTGTCTTCGCACGCTCCATTATAATTAATAAAAGTACTTCCAGCTTGTTGAATAAAACAAGAATTTTTTACTGCAAAATTATTACTACTTATCTAAGAGTAATTTCTTCGTAGTGGTGGCTGAAAAATTTTGCTATAGTCAACAAAATTGATTCCGAGGAGTGAAATATAGCAAAAACACATTGTCGCTTGTTCCAAAGGACACATTCTTAAAAACTGAACGATTCTGTTTGTTTCAGGAAATTATATAAACAGTGACATTTAAAGTTTTATTACAGGTTTAACATTTTAATACATAATTATTAATTACAAATTACAAAAAAGTGTAGGTTCCAAAAATTCCATTTTTGGTTTGACGAACAAAAAAATCAATAGAAACTTGAAAAAAAAAATCTCTAGGAGACGGGAAGTAAATGAATTTTGACATTTTACATTTCTTACGTCACTTGGCAATTTATCCGATTTTAATTGTTTTTTTTATTTCAAGTTTTTCAATTTTTCGCCTCTTCAATTTTTTTTTGTTTCTTCAATTTTACGACATGCAATATTTTCAGTTTTTCTGCTTTTCCAATGTTCTGATTTTCTAATTTTTCTTTTCTTTTCAATCTCAAATTTTTCAATTTTTCTGTATTTAATTTTTCAATGTCACAGTTTTCCGACTTGACAATTTTGACGATTCTGTAATTTTTCGATTTTACAATTTTTGGGTTTTCATTGGCTCCGTCATGACATAGTCGTCGCAATTGACTCTAGAAGATCGAACACGAAATTTTTTTATGGAAAAGTTGTACATGTCTTTGAAACTCGTTTAAATTTTTGGCGTGGTATAGTCAACAAAATTGATTCCGAGGGGTGAAATAAGCAAAAACAAATTGTCGAAAGGAGCTGTCAAGTGCTCCAAGTGACATTTCACTTTTAGAAAAATGTATATATGTATTAGGATCGCAAAAAATGCTTGTCATTCCGAAAAGGTCAAGATTGTCGTCCAAGTTAACTCTACAAGGTGACAAGATTTTTTAAACTGTCACTCTTTAGTAAACGCCAAAAGTTGCCCAAAAACATATTCAAAATCGACTTGGCAAGTCAAATCTATATTTGTTTCAGGAAATTATGCAGACGGTGACATTTAAAATTTTATTACAGGTTTGTCATTTTATTAATTACAAATATTCCATTTTTGGTTTGACGAAAAAAAAATTGATAGAAACTTGAGAAAAAATCTCTACGGTACGTAAATGAAGTGACATTTGACATTTTACATTTCTTACGTCACTAGGCAACGGGTAATTCACGTAAGTCCCAGAAATTTACATACTGGAATTTTCAAAATGCTTGCGATCATATCGGGTTCCGTAACCTGACTTACTAAGACACTTTTTTTTTATTTAGTTGAAAAAGTCGTCACGACATTTGTACCTTTTTATCACTTTCCGCCAAATTGATACCCGGTTCCCACATCCAATATAACCCAAGATTACGACTGCACTATCTTCAAGGCCGCGAATGACGGCAAAAAACGCGGCAAAAACTTTCTTTTTTCCTCCCGGCCCACTGCGCCAACTTCCGACGAAAGTCGCACCTACACCGCGAACTTCTCGCTTTTTTTTTCCAGCGTACGGCAACGTCACGTTCGCCGCAACAGCGTCGCAACTGTCACTCCAGTCAAGGCCCGCTGTTAATAGCTGCGGCATGCCTTTTTGACGTTTCGAGCCGGCGCTGGAAAAATTCGCGGCGTGAATGAACCCGATTGCGCAACGTTGCCTCGCCGGGACGCGCTATAAATTCCGGCGAATCATGCCTTAGGAATGCGGCGCGACGGCCCTTTGCACTTTCGACACGCTCAGAATGCTGCAATATGCCCGAGCCGGCCACGTCGCCGGCCGGCCGGCCCGCCGCACTCTCACCGTCTCGACTCCGAAGGGCGCTCACGTGACACTTACCTTAAAGCTACGAGGTATCAATTAAAGCACTTCAACTGCAACAACGCCGTCAGTCCTGCGGTTTTACAGTTTTTTCCTGACACACGGTGTATGTAACACGAAGGCGATGGACGAGAATATCAAACACACGGTATTAACGAAACCACTCTCCTGAATCTCTGCGATCAGCTTTGTATACATGCTTATGGGGGGAATCTCGGGGAGACCTGAACCTGGAGCTGGAGCGGCTCAACAAATACTGAAGAGCGCGCCGCGACCCGGCATCGAGCCGGCTTCGGATGGGCGGTCGGCGAGGTTAGGCGGCCCCCGCCCCCCGCGCGCCCCGGGCCCGATCGGGGGCCCGGCGCGGGCCAGGGCGGCGGCGACGGACGAGGGGGCCGCCGGGGGCGGCAGCGGCCCGTCGGGGCGATTTGGGGGGCTGTCGATGCGTACTTTCAGGGCTTTTGGGCCGGGAAGGCGGCGTTGCTTTTCGGCGCGGAGCAGCAGAGCGGCGGCGCGGCGCAGACGGGATGCGCGGCAGAGCGGCGGCTTGGGCGGGATGCGGATGTTGGGCGAATGCAGTTTTTGCGGGTTTTGGGGTCTGGGATGGTGGACGGCGGCGGTGGGACCCGCCGAGGGCGGCGGCGGGATGGTGGGTCGGCGATGGGTTTGGCGGCTGGACGGGCGCGGCGGCGGCGGGGACAGGCACGGAGTCGGGAGAAAGCGGGCCCCCGGCGAGTGGCCGGAGGGGAAAATTCGATTTTCGAAAAATTGCTGGGGATTTATTCACGATTGTTTTAACAATTGAATTTCACCTTGACACGTCATTGGCTATTGCGAAAAGTTTATAATAATTTATATCGAGAGCGCGTGGGGGAGGGGGGTTTGACGCGGCCATAAAAATTTGCTACATTTGTTGTATTGATATTAACCATAATTCAAAATAATATTGGGCGAAAGTTACTAATTAAAATTTAAAAAAAAATGGGTGAAGGTTATTTCGACAGAATTTCCCTTGCCCTTGAAGAATAGGCCAAGAAATACCGCTTCTTTGAAAACTTATAAAAAGTGTTTCCGATTTTTGTTTTCTGATAGTCTTTATCAACTAAAAACCAGTTTTTCAAATTTTCCAACTTTTGAATTTTTCAATTTTTCGATTCTGCAGTTTTTCGATTTGAGTTTATAGAGTTTTCAATTTTTCAGTTCGATTTCATATTCGATTATATATTTTTTTGCAATTAAATTTTTTTTTCCGCTTTTCGTTTCTTCAGTTTGTAAATTTTGCAACTTTCCGATTTAAAGTTTCTGGAGTTTTTTATTTTTCGATTGTTCATCTCTTCAAACCTTCGATTTGCAATTTTTCGTTTCGGTTTTTTTATTTTATTAATTTTTACAATTCTTCGATTTTTTTAATGTACCTATTTTATAATTTTTTGTTTATTTAATGTTAATTTTATCAGTTTTTCGTTTCTTCAATTTTTCGATTTGCGATATTTATTAAATTTTTTATTTTTCGATTTGCAATTTTTTGTTTTCTTTATTTTTTCAATTATTCCTGACTTTCAGCAATTCGATTTTATAATTTTCTTGTATTTTCAATTTTAATTCCTCAGTTTTTCGTTTCAACAATTTTTAAATTTTGCAATTTTTTAATTTAAAATTTATCGAGTTTTATATTTTCAATTTTTCAATTTTACGTTTCATCAATTGCTCATTTCTACAAATTTTAGATTTTCCATATTTTGTTTCGGTGTTTTTATTTGATTTATTTTTACGATATTTCGATTTTTCAATGTACGGATTTTATAATTTTTTGCTTACTTATTATTAATTCTTTCAGTTTTTCGTTTCTTAAATTTTCCGGTTTGCGATATTTAATTTTTTTTGTTTCGTCAATTTTTAAATTTTGCAATATTTTAATTTAAAATTTCTCGAATTTGAAGTTTTCGTTTTGCAATTTTTTGTTTGGGTTTTTTGTTTTCTTTATTTTTTCAATTATTCCAGACTTTCAGCAATTCGATTTTATAATTTTCTTGTATTTTCAATTTTAATTCCTCAGTTTTTCGTGTCAACAATTTTTAAATTTTGCAATTTTTTAGTTTAAGATTTCTCGAGTTTTATATTTTTAATTTTTCAATTTTACGTTTCATCAGTTGCTCATTTCTACAAATTTTAGATTTTCAATATTTTGTTTCGGTGTTTTTATTTGATTTATTTTTACGATTTTTCGATTTTTCAATGTACGGATTTTATAATTTTTTGCTTATTTATTGTTAATTCTTTCAGTTTTTCGTTAGTTAAATTTTCCGATTTGCGATATTTAATTTTTTTTTGTGTCGTCAATTTTTAAATTTTGCAATTTTTTAATTTAAAATTTCTCGAATTTCAAGTTTTCGTTTTGCAATTTTTTGTTTGGGTTTTTTTGTTTTCTTTATTTTTTCAATTGTTCAATATACCAGTACTTCGATTTTATAATTTTTTGTTTTTTTCAATTTTAATTTTTTCAGTTTTCCGTTTCTTCGGTTTTCTACTTGGGATTTTTCAATTTTTCATTTTTGTTTCTTCAGTTTTTCGAGTTTTCAATTTTCCGATTCTTAAATTTTTCAATCCTTCAAATTTTCCATTTGCAGTTTTTCATTTCGGTTTTCTATTTTCCCTTTTTCTCCAGATATTTCAAGTTTCAGAATTTCGATTTTATCATTTTTTTGTATTTTCAGTTTTAATTTTTCAGTTTTTCGTTTCTTCAATTTTTTGATTTGCGATATTTAAATTTTTCATTGTTTTGTTACTTCAATTTTTAAATTATGGATTTTCAATTTAACGAGTTTTCAATTTTTCGATTTGAAATTTTTTGTTTTCTTAATTTTTTCAATTATTCAACTTTTTAGCATTTCGATTTTATAATTTTTTTGTTTTTTGAAATTTAATTTTTTCAGTTTTTCGTTTCGTCTATTTTCTATTTGCGGTTTTTCATTTTTTCGTTCCTTCAATTTTTAGATTTTGTAATTTTTCGATTTAAAATTTCCCGAGTTTTCAATTTTTCGATTCTTCAAATTTTTCATTTGCAATTTTTTGTTTCGGTTTTTTATTTTCCTTATTTTTCCAGTTATTCGATTTTTCAGAATTTCGATTTTATAATTTTTTGTATTTTCAGTTTCAATTTTTCAGTTTTTTGTTTCAATTATTTTTCGATTTTTCATTTTTTTGTTTTTTCAGTTTTTAGATTTCGCAATTTTTCGATTAAAAATTTTTTCGAGTTTTCAATTTTTCAATTTTCAATTCTTCAAATTTTTCGTTTCGGTTTTTTGTTTTCCTTATTTTTCGAGAATTTGGATTTTATAATTTTTTGTATTTTCAGTTTTAATCTTTTCGCTTTTTCGTTTTTTCAATTTTGCGACATGGAACTCTGAGTTTTCATTCTAAAATTTTTCAATTTTTCGATATTCCAAAATTTGGATGCTTCAGTTTTTAGATTTCAGTTTTCGATCTGCAATTTTTCGTTTCAGTTTTTTATTTGCTTTATTTTTTTCAATTTTTCGGATTTTCAGTGTTCTGTTTTTATAATTTTCTTATTTTTCATATTGAAGTGTTTCAATTGTTCGATTTCTCGATATGTATTTAATTTCTTAGTTTTTTGATTCATTAATTTTTTTGATTTTCAAGTTTCTCGATTTTTGGTTTTTAAATGTTTTCGTTTCTTCGATTTTCAATTTTTCGTTTTTTCACGTTTTCAATTTTTCAATTCTTCAAATTTTTCATTTGCAATTTTTTGTTTCGGTTTTGTATTTTCCTTATCTTTCCAGTTATTCGATTTTTCAGAATTTCGATTTTATAATTTTTTGTATTTTCAGTTTCAATTTTTCAGTTTTTTGTTTCGTCAATTATTTTTCGATTTTTCATTTTTTTGTTTTTTCAATTTTTAGATTTCGCAATTTTTCGATTAAAATTTTTTTCGAGTTTTCAATTTTTCAATTAAATTTTTCATTTCTTCAAATTTTTCGTTACGGTTTTTTGTTTTCCTTATTTTTCGAGAATTTGGATTTTATAATTTTTTGTATTTTCAGTTTTAATTTTTTCGGTTTTTCGTTTCTTCAATTTTTCGATTTGCAATCATTCAGTTTTTCATTTTTTTGTTTCTTCAATTTTACGACATGGAACTCAATGAGTTTTCATTCTAAAATTTTTCAATTTTTCGATATTCCAAAATTTGGATGTTTCAATTTTTAGATTTCAGTTTTCGATCTGCAATTTTTCGTTTCAGTTTTTTATTTGCTTTATTTTTTTTCAATTTTTCGGATTTTCAGTGTTCTGTTTTTATAATTGTCTTATTTTTCATATTGAAGTTTTTCAATTTTTCGATTTCTCGATATGTATTTGATTTCTTAATTTTTTGATTCATTAATTTTTTTGATTTTCAAGTTTCTCGATTTTTGGTTTTTCAATGTTTTTGTTTCTTCGGTTCTTCGATTTTCAATTTTTCGATTTTGAAATTTTTCATTTTTTCACGTTTTCGATTTTTCAATGTTTTCCTATTTTTTTATTATTCGATTTTAAACTTTTGAAGAAAAAAAATGAAAAAATTGTGAAATAGAAAAATCAAAAATGAAAAAACGAAAAAGTATAACATGAAAACTTTGAAAAATCAAAAAATTGGAAATCAAAAACTTGAAAAATTGAAGAAACGAAAACGGAACAATCGAAAATCAAAAATTGAGAAATGAAAAAATCGAAAAGAAAGTGCAAAATCAAAAAACGCAATATTCTAAAATCGAAATTTTGAAAATTAAAGAAATCGGAAAATCGGGAAACACAAAAATTGCAGAATTGGGAACTTTAAAAACCAGGAAACCTAGGAGTTGAAAAATCAAAGATTGAAAATTTGAAAAATGGATTAAACGAAAAATTGTGATATAAAATCCAAAAAATTAAAAATTCGGAAACTGAAAAATCGAAAAATGGAAAATTGTAATATCGAAAAATTGTAAAATCGAATAAAAAGGAAAAACGAAAAATTGATACAAAAATTTCGTCGAAGGTAATTAAATCCAAATTTTTCGAGTAACTGTAAAATTTGATCTTGCGCATTTTATTTTTTAATGATAACCCTTAAAAATCAAAAAAACCTAGTTTGAAAAAGTATAAAATGAAAACTTTGAAAAATCTAAAAATGGAAAATCAAAAACTCAAGAACAACAATCGAAAGATCAAAAATTGAGAAACTTAAAAATCGAAGAAGAGCTAAATCGAAAAACGCAATGTTATAAAATCCAA